AGCCTCTTAGCGTCTGCCATATGAGTCCGTCTCTATTGATGGCTCTTGTCATTCATAGATGGGTGTGGAGATGCATTTTTCCATTTTGTATTAATATACGGCATCAAAAACATCACATGAGATCTTAAAGACAACTTTTTTGCAAAGATAGCCAACCCTATCCTTAGGGTGTACGAGCTGAGTGCGTAATGCAATCGTCGGTTTGTACGCCACTTTCATTTCGCGTTTCCGGAAGTGTCTTTCGACGAGTTGAGACACATTCCTAAGGATTCAGTGTGTATTTATTTTGGGCACCTAATTGGAACCGCCTAGTTACATTTCTCTGGCCTCTTTTGGTTTCATTTACCGGCGTGCAAAGTCTCTAAGATAATTATTTTGGTAAAATAGTTCAAACGGGTAAGCCCGAAATCTCAGTATATGACTATTTTGCCTTCTGTGCAAGTCGCTAAGGCCAACCATGGGACAGAATAAAACTCCCCTTTTCACAGTGACCGATATCTTCCTAGTCTTCGTTAACCACGAAGATAGTGTGCGGTCTGGATTGTTTTCCGCCTTTACGGGCTCCTGTCAAGAAGGTTCATAAAATAAGATAGGAAGGGGACAGACGTTTTTGACAGGGAGCAGTCGGTCTTAATCGGGCCACCTGCGCTTGCCTCAATCAGCGATCATCACGTAGACTCATAATTTCCACGATCTAAAAGTTTAAAATGCGTCTCATATTAGTGGCATGGGTTGCTACGGCAACCTTTACTCCAAACTTCGTTCGGCCAATTAATTTTGCTTCCCTTTGCGCTTACAGCTTTCAGCCGATTTCTCCGAAGTAAATACCCTTTCATCAGCTGCACTCAATTTAATATACGATAACGTCTTGTTCTTGTTATTTTTGAGACATTTGGCCGCAACGCTTGTCGTCGTATTGTTCCAAACCAGACAGCAACACTTACTCAGCGCGATGCGAATGATCCAGGTCCGACTATGCGAAGTCTCTGGATATACAAAAAACTCTTGTAGTTAGCATCCATAGCTTGTGTTCTAATCAGTTGATTTTGAGCCAGACACATTTGAGCCGCAAAATCATAATTTGTCGACGTTATCCAGGAATAATTAACGTTAGCCGATCTATTTTTAAATTTGAGTTCAGGCCATCAGTACAGGGGACTAGATGGCGATATGAAGCAAGCCAGACCTGCATATTCCCACTGCTCTAATTAATTTCGGTAGCACATATTTGCTGCCGGTCGATATGTGACCCTCTCAACGGGCCCCAAATGAAAACCCGAAAGAAAAGGTTAGCGTCTTGATGTCGTCTTGCTAGGTCTGTTGAATTTCACTCATGCGGAGTTGTTGGGAGTTGAAATGTTAGGACACCGCATCTTAATCCGGTTAGATGCTCAGACGAAGGAGCTTTTTAAACAAAATTTGCTTTTTAGCACAATCCTGGGTAAGTAGAAGTCTTCTCCGTTATTATTATTAGCATTAACTTAATAATTTCCTCGTCAGGCTGCCCTACTACCTCTTCGGCACGGAATACCACAGACACTTTTGCGATGGAGGACGGCAATGCATTGTGAATGACTATGATGATCCCATGGAGGAGAAAGATGTGGGTGCCTGTGATGGCTGGCCCATGGTTTACGACTGGATACAAAGCGGTATTGCCCCCAGTGAACGCACTGTCTTTACAACCAATTCTAAACTGGGAAAGAAATGTTACAATCCAAAAATCCACGAATCTAAGGATCCCCTCCTGGCGGAATGCGAAGAGAAGTTATTCTATAATGCGGCTGGACAACGAAATGTGTATTCGAAGTAAGTTCGGCTTCCTCATTTCTTTTGCCTAATAGCCCCACCTACACAAGGTCAGCCGCCGATGTCTACTGTGTGCCCTATAACATGGCTAGTGTATCCCAAGAGCAAAACGAGCTCGTTTCGAGCTCGCTAATTCGAAAAATCGAGCTCGTTTTGGCCGCCTGTTTGAGCTCGAAAAAACGAGCTCCATGCAAACTCGTGTTCTCGCGCTTGTAGCTAGAAAAATTGAATTTTAGTTTTCATCCGGATAGGGGTTACCTCTTCTCCTGTCAAAACCCCTCCATAGCGAAATAGCACTTTTTGAAGACTGCTGATTTTTTTAGAATGTATATATTAATATTTAAAAATGAGCTTAAACATATAAGGGTACAAAAATGGTAAAATGTTATCTTTGGCCGGTGTTTATAATTCTTGGTTACCAGAACGCATCATTGTAGAGTTCAAAGACGGCTCCGGTATTCCGTACGGCCCTGGTGCATCATCGTCATCCTGGCTTCGGGGTATATCTAAAAGAAGGAAATTAGGAAATTAGTGTGTAGGTAACTATACGTAACGTAACAGCGAGTGACACTTACTTTTCCGATAAAACGGTAGCCCATCAACCTAAGTATTTTACTATCTTATTTTCTACAATAGGCATGGAAAATTGACTTTTCTTCTTAAATTTGTAACAAGTCCCATTTGGACATACTCACCACTATCCATTGCCTTTACCTTTTTCCGATTGGTTTTCTTTCCCAGAAGCGTACGACCATCACTTGGTAGTTTGGGAGCAACACACTTCAAAATTGCAAGGAGTTTTGTCAGATGTTTTATCGGAATGTTGGTGTATATTGCCCAAGAACACAAAGCATCTTTCAGACTCTGTTCTTGCTCCATCGCTGATTTACTTGTTGGCTGTTCGGTTACTTCTTAGGATGCCGAACTGCCTCCTCCGATGAGGAACCGCAAGAAGAGTTAGCACAGTGTGACAATCTTGTAATTTCTCATGTTTCCTTCTCAGTTTTACGTAAATTGTCAAGATAACCGCGCAAAGCACGTCATCGTTATTCTCTCTTTGATGGGGGCCTCCATATGCGGAAGTAAACAGCAAAAAAAACAACACGTTTACCGGATTTAAAGTCACAGTAACGATAGCTCGTTTGTGCGTCTAATCAGCAGATTGCGCCACATCACGATGGCGTCCACAGCGCGCGCGCGCTGATGAAAATCGAACAGCCAATCACCTATTGATTACGCAATTATCCCAACCAATGACAATCAACCATGCGTGTAGCTCGCGTTTGCGTGGTACGATAACGCGCGCGTTGCCATTAGGGTAGGACCGATGACTTGCGCGTCAATCAGTTTAGCTTGACAGTTGATTTGCGCCATCGCTCTCACACACCTGCACCCGAAATGTTAAATTGTTCATAAAGAAGCGGGATGAGACCTAATGCCTGACAGATATAAATAACTCCTCATTTATTGCCACACATGCTTCATCAACCTGCGATAGACTAGGTGTTTTTCTCCCGAATTGAGGCAAATGTTCGCATTCACGGGACGTGTATAATTTTAGGAGAAGAAGAAGGTTTATAGAACACGGGAATCATTATTTTATTGGTCTGAGCTTTCGGGCTCCTGCAGGAGTCCGGCA